CTCGACAGAAACGATTACATAGTTTTCAAGATCCATTTTTTGCCCTGTTGAATGTTATTCAATTGTAAAGAAAATGAATTCTATGTTAAATTATAAATATCACTCACTTATTATTAAATTTTCAAACCCATACTTATTTTACTCATTCCAGTGAAATTTAACTAATTACGTAATTTCCACAATAAAATCCTAGAGTTGGGCCAACAGATTTCGCTCGCAAGTAACTTCTGTCCTAACTCCTTTTATCCTTCTTTTTGCGAGTTGAGTGGCAAAACCAAAGACACATTCTACCACAGAAGTTGACCGCAGAAACTTGACCGGCTGCAAAGAATGGGGGCTCTTTCTTCCTGCGAAACCTCAAACCTTAGTTGGAAATTATTCTGACCCAACTTCTGCCAGTTGTTTGTAATTATTTATGGCACCTTCAGGAAGCCTTCCTATTTGTGTGTTAACACTTTTGCAAGAATCCCGAAAACTTTTGGGCCAAAAAACTGAAATCTCCAAGGATGCAGACTGGAAAAATAAGGCGAATTCGGTTGTCTGACAGGTGCATGCGTCATCATTGCATCATTGCTGTGTGCAAAGGCCAAAGTTGCAAATAATTTCGGGTTTGTCCCGGCTCGGTTCGCAAAAGTTGCCCAAACAACCTGAGCCCCCCGAAATATCAAACGGTGGAAAATCGAAGAGGGAAAAAAAACAAAAAAAAACAAAAATGAAAATGAAAATGAAAAACTGGGTAATTGGGAGTGGCAACACGCCCCCGTCGACCAACTGCCATGGCAATTACACGCCTCTGACAGGAGAGGTGCACACAAATTAGCCAAAAAGCCACCAAGACAGCCAAAACAAAGCCAAAAGCGAGCGAATAAAATACGGGAAAACGCAGACAATACGATGGCTGAAGGCCCGAAACCGAAAACCCAAAATAAAGCCCGAAAGTCGGCCGAAAAGATCCCCAAATGTGGAAAATTGAGGTTGGGCCCGTGGGCCGTGGTTTGAATTTTCTGAAAACAAATACAATTCATCATTCGAGCAGCTTAAAAAATATTCCAAATAAATTGTAAGCTAAATTACATTAAATAAATGATTTTTACATCTGTGGAAATATGCAGCATGAGTATAAGAAAGTAAAAAAAATATGGGATTCAAAAGTATAATAAAATTAGTTATCTATCATTCAAAACCTTATCTTAAAATGCTAGCTTACTATAATCCAACATCATAATAAAATGTATAACAAATCTAATTTGTTTCTATTAAATTTTCTTGAAACAATCTAATTGCTAAACATTATGTTTCATTGTATATGAGTCCCGAATGCTCTTATTGAGTTAAATATATTTTCCTTCATTAGCATCTGCCTGGCATTCAATTAAAGTTAGCCACTGTGCCTGCCGTTTTAGTTGCAGTTGGTTGCAGTTAGCCACTGCGGTTGCTGGCTTTTAGTTTTTAGCCAAATAAACCAGTTTCAGCGCCAAACTTTCAATTTCGAAACGCCACCGAAAAAAGGTTAAATGTGAGCGGTCTTTGTTGGGGTTTTTCAGGGGGTTCGACGCTCGGCTTCAGTTTCAGTTTCGGTTTCAGTTTCAGTTTCGGTTTCTGGGTAATGTCTTCGGCGGGCCTGACAAGCCGCTGATAAGAACGATTTCTGGGTTGGGTTCGCACTGGGTTTTTCTCTTTTTTCCGGGCTGTCTTCTGTCTTCCGATAAGATTTGCCTTTTTGGGTTGAGCATAACAAATGATGGTGCAGTGTGTTTCGCTTTTTCTTGGGATATTATACCACCGGGTTTGGCCGAGCAGGAGTTGAAAAAAAGCCTAGTACAAGAACATTTTTCTTCACCGTGATTTTAATACAATAAATAATAAGTTGGCTTACAAAAATATCTTTCTGATGAACTGTTTTTAAATTTATTGTATTATTTTCTCTACTATTACTCTACTGATAATATTTTCCCCTTCTAGAATTGCTTCGTTAGTGACTTGGCGGTATTTCGCAATATTTTGCCACCTCGACAGATATATAAAATTAGTATCTAAATTAACAAGAGATTTTATTGAGCAATAATTTTTAATTGAGGTCATGTTTGTGATTATTTTTTCGCAATTTGTCAAGTGTTTCACCCGCGGATCTGCCGCTATTATTGTCAGCTTAATTCCGGCACTCGCACACATCATAAATTCTCGGCACTGCAATTATTCAAATCTCGTTTAAGCCGCGGAAAAAACGAAAACCAAAAATAAAACCCCAAAACGACTTTGCTGCCAAGACAATGCAAAATGCAAGAGGCCCCGCTGGTCTATTTATGTGGACAAATAAACCTAGATTCCCACACAAGTCGCCGTGTTACTTTAAATGGTCCAGTAAAATATATCTTAAAGACGGCTTAAGGTGCCAAATGAAATATGTCTCTGAAATCGGCTTAAGACCGACAACAAAGCGCGTGAAAAATGTGTCATCACCTCAAAACGCTGATCATTATGATGAAACCGAGGCATTTGCATTCTGGATCTGACGAGTGATTTACGATCCATTTGCCAAATTCGAACACTGACTAATTCCAGATGCTCGGCTCTCAGGGGCTCTTTGATCTCAACTCGAGGGCCGGGGAAATATAACAAATTGCCGGGGTTGATTAATAAATGTTGTTAACATTTTTTCATTCGCCAAACAGGGGGACCCTTCTTATCGCCAGCAATAGAAACCATAAATCTCCTCTGTCCCATTATTATTTGCATTCAAATTGGAAATATTCCGAATTAATTGTTTGATAAGTCAACTGAATTTGGCTACTCAGAGATTTATTTGAGGCAGATAGTAAAATTAATTTCGGGCTGAAAAATAACCAATTTTGAATATCACTGAATGTCCCCGTAACACGATTATTCTAACTTATCTTGATGAAAAATTATTTGACTCGAAATTTAATGACCTACATTGCTTAATCTTTAAGTTCAATCCCTTGATAACCTTCACTGCTCATTGATAAGAGAAGTTTTAAATTTTCTAAGCATTTTAAATTAAATTAGGTCAAGTCAATTTTGCCGACTAAGCAATACAAAATATTTAATCATCGTTTTTGATTTAACATATTTCGAATGCCTCTTTTACAACGCCCACAACTCACATTCGATTACAATTAGATAATTGATTTTCCTTAACACGTTTGTTGGACGGCCTCCGCAAATTATTTATTACAATTTTCAATTTGCCTCTGTCCAAATAACCCAAAGTATTCGAGCCAAAATTAAAAACAAAACTGCAATAAAAATTGGTAGGTTAAATGACAATAGCAGAAGTCCAAATAAAATGCGCAAAAGTGTATAAGCACAAGATAAAATTTGACTTGATTCGAGTTAAAAACAGCAACACAATAAAATGCCTTTATAATTTAAAGATTAATAAAAAGCACTGCCAACAATAACTTGCAGCAGTTTCGGATCAAATTTGAGAAACGTATAGGAAGTGGGCCAAAATCGAACAAATCGAATAGCTAATTCCCTTTTTAGTCGGCAATAAATTTTATTAAATTTATAAATTTGTAGTTTTAACAAAGAACTTTAAGATATTGCCAGCAAACAACTAGCTTTTAATTAATCAGTAACTTAGAGGATAAAATATAACTCCTATTTGAAAGTACATCATTTATACGTAAAAACCAAAGTACCTGCAAAATAAACCCCTCAACAAGTTCTTTCAAATTAAGTTGATGTCAAAAGTTAAGGCCCCCGACTCTCTGGCCATAAACTTTAAACTTGTTTTCAAAGTAAACCGAACTCAATTGCAATTTCTGGCAGTGTGCGGCGACACGAAAACTTGTTTTGATGTCGCTCGTTTTTGCTGTTATTGTTATTAGCATTTTTCTCTGTCATTTGATGTTTTCTGTGGCCGGAGTCGAAATATAAAAAAAACAGATATAAAAATAAAAACAAAATGCAAAGTTATGGCCTCAGAGTTGTGGGGCAGGTTTTTATTTTATTTCTTCTCTTTTTATTTCTGTTTTTGTTTTCCTTTTTGCTTTGTTTTGTCTGAAGACGAAACGCCCACGCGACCAACATTTTTTCGAACGAGACCCGCGCGTTGCGTATACGTCGCGTGGTCTCGCGCGCTTTTGAAAACCCGTTGCCAGCGAGGTAAATAAATAAATAAAAAATATGTCTGTATCACGGAGGCAGGGGGAAATAAAATCAAAGTGTTACACGACAATCCGTGCAGGTGTCATTGAGACTTGCGAATGATTTGGCGCCAGTTTGATGGCGCCAACATGTTGGGAAAATTCTCCAAGTCTCGAATCCAAAAGTTCCTCAAATACATTTCAATTTGTGCGGTTGCGGCGATAAGTCCAAGTTTATCCTGTGGCAAATTGTCTCAAAGTTTCAGTGCACAAATCTTGTGGCAAGGCAAACAGTCAAGTGACTCGGAATGCCACACTTGAGTCATGGATCCAGTTTGCCATGTCAGTCTGCAAAAGGCGGAGCCTTTTTGAAAAGCATCGAAAATATTCTGTCTGCCCCAGCTGCACAATAAGAACACATTGTAACATTGTCAACAATATGTAGCATTTAAGAAATAGCAATACACACTGTGCCGACTAGAACTGGGTATTACAATATATTAAACAAGAAAGAAAAGCTAACTTCGGGCGGAGCCGAAGTTGATATGCTTAAATCAACTCAGGAGGCGATCCTGATCAAGAATATATATACTTTATAGGGTCGGAAATGTCTCCTTCACTGCGTTGCAAACTTTTGACTGAAATTATAATACTCTCTGCAAGGGTATAAAAATAAAGCGCATATAAGCGATAAGAACATAAGCTCATTTCTATTTATATTGTAGTCTATACATATTATATATAATTTTGGCCAACGGATTAGAGATTAGAAGGGCCACGTGCAATACATATGGAATATGAACGTTCACGGGGCGTATTAACAATATTTTTGGCTTCGTTGTTTCTTCAACTTATAGCTACATTTCAGTACACTTTTTGAATTCGATTAGAGTAGATGGAACATCTTAAGATGCTGAGACTATTGTTCTATTTGCTTGGCTTATTAATTTTTCCAAGTGTTCAAGGAGGAATTGCGTCCAATTCAAAGGATCAGTCGTTGTGCGTTCTCCAAGATGCACCCACACAATGCGGCTCCTTTTGCCTGGCCACACTGAACCCTATATCTGATAATATCCAAAAAAGGTTGGATGAAATCGAGGCAGGGCAGAGAGCCCTTAACGATTCCTTTATGATGACCAAGACTATCACAAAAGAAGACTTCGTGAATTCCATTCAGGCTCTGCAGAATGCGAGATTGGACAGAATGGAGGTACTTAGGACGGTGAGTTACATATAGACAAACATCCTTTCGCGTTCCTATCGGAAGTGCTTATCTCTTTTAATATGTAAATAGCATGTAAAGAAAGCACAGTAGTAAACAATAGTTTTTTTAGCACATTAAATAATACTACGCTGAAACAATCATGCTATTGCGTTGTGTAGAACTCTTTTCTGTATTTAGTTTCAAAACGACGCTGCCATTTTATATATTTATTTTCTTTTGGAAGAACATCCACTTTTTGGTGTAAACTCAATTAAGATTTATCACAGGAACCAACTAATTAAAATATTGGAAACGAATGCAATGATTATTATTTTATCGCCTGTTCTAAATCATTTTTTACAGCTGACAATAACAGCCGATGCCAACGATGAACTCAAAAGCCAAGTAAATACCTTGAAAGACACCATAAAAGACTTGCAGAGTCAGTTAGAAATATCCGAAGGTCAAACCAAAAGCAAAGAAGATATTTTAAAGGTGAAAGAGGAGCAAATCAAAAGCCAGCATGAACACCTTAAAAATAAAGATGAACAAATCTCTGACCTTAGGACTCAAATTAATTCGATTGATATCATAAAATCAGAACTATCTAGTCAGCTTTCTGAATTGCAGAAAACTGATGACATTTTACCTGACTCCTGTCCGAGTGACAGTCCCAATGGGATTTTCCAAATAAAGCTTCGGGGTCTTGAACCCTTTGAAGTGCCATGTGCGACGTCTCCAAGTGGTTGGACTGTAATTCAGAGACGCATTGACGGATCCGAGAACTTCGATCGAAACTGGCATGATTATAAATATGGATTTGGGAATGTCAGTGGAGAATTCTTCATCGGGCTGGAAAAATTGCATCGGATGACTGAGGCACGACCCCACGAACTCTACATTAAACTTGGGATGGTTAATGGATCCACCAGCTACGCTCAATACGATGATTTTGGGATCGGGAGTGAGGAGGAAGCCTACAAGTTGAAGAATCTAGGGAAATATTCTGGTGAAGCCGGAAACTCACTCACACGCAATAAGAACCAAAAGTTCTCCACATTTGATCGGGATAATGACAATTGTCGTGATCTTGATTGTGCCAATGCATTTGGTGCATGGTGGCACAATAACTGTACAGATAGGTATACCTGTTTATTTATGCTCTCATTAAATCTTCTTACTATAATCATTAAAATTACAGTATGCTCAATGGAAAATACTTCAAAGATGGCGAAGGTTATGCAGGAATTACTTGGTTTTCATGGCATAAATATTGGTCTGTATCACTTACCTTTGTCGAAATGATGATAAGGCCCAAGTCCTTATAAGTCGCACTGTTTGAGTATGAAATATTTGAATATTAATAAAAAATACTAAATCTACCCTGTACTCCTAATGCTGACTGGTATTAATTTAATTTTATTTGATGAAATGGGAGATTTGATAAAGTGATAGAGATTATTTTACAGTTGATCTGCGTATTTTAGGAACATAAATACGGATAAGTGGAGATGGTTGGTAAGCTATTTGTAGATTTTGCTCTATTAGGGTTTACATGAATCTGTCAGTGCGTTTTTGGGTGCTCCCAATTTGCCAGAATTCGGAATCCTGAATCCGTAATCCTGAATCCAGACCCCGGGAAACATTCATTCAACGACGCTCCCTATATAAACGATGGGGAATATAGATTTTACGCTTTACTTTTTGTTCGGATGCCGTCTACCATTATTAATTAATTGCTTATTTAAATAGTTTGTATTAAGTCAATTTGCTGGGTATGTAAGGGAGTTTGGGGAAATGATCTGAATAAGGGTACTTTCCAGCCTGCAGACTCTATTATTCCTGGGTGGATGCTACCCAAGGGGCAAAGTCAAGGCAACGATTCTGCTCTGATGTTGAATGTGATTCCCGAAATCAATTCAAATACCGGAAGACGGTGTCTACAAACATATTTGTGCACAGATAAGCACTTCCAATAGCTTCTGAAGATCATTCTGCTGTTCTAGATTATCAGCCAGCTAGACACATATATATAAGTACGAAACGAGTGCGTTAAGCGTTCGCTTTTTATACCAAGGTTATATTATAATATTGGTCAGAAGTTTGCAATGAAATACATTTACGACCTTATACAAAAAAGGTGCACTTATTCTCTGATCGAAAATAAATTACACAAGAAAGGAAGTTAACATCGGCAAGCCGAAGTTTATATGACTATTTCGAATTCTATGCCTATTTTACTAAAAACAATGAAGCTAAGTCGATTTTGCTCTGCATTTTGCCATCGTTTTTATGGCAGCTATATTATCCGATTTTAATTTAATTAAAACCGTAATTCCATAATATTTAAACATTACCAAATCTCAAATTAAAAACAACAAAGCTTTAAAACTGAGGGACTAGTTTGCGTAGAAATGGACGGACGGACGGACATGGTTAAATCGACTCTCCTGATCAAGAATATATATACTTTATTGGGTCGGAAATGTCTTCTTCACTGCGTTGCAAACTTTTGACTGAAATTATAATACCCTTTGCAAGGGTATAATAACCTTTTCGCTTGATAAAAATTATTCTTTTTCACATAAGGCAATAAAAAGAACCGCAAAACCTTTTAATATGGAATCCTGAGATTAAGAATAAGACTGGCAAATTAAAAAGCGGCGAATATGGAGCGAATCCATTTAGTTTCGTTTCAAGCGGTAACTTCCGTTTTCGGATTGACTCTGAATGCTAAAAATTCCCAGCTGAGCTTATCTTTATTATTATTATTATGTTTTTTCCGTCTTTTTTCTCAAGAACTTCTGGTGACCCAACGAAAAAACTAACGGACATTGCAAAAGCGCAAATTAAAATTAAAATAAATCGCAACCGGCTGGCAAAAGTATAACTCTTCTCCCCTTTTTTTTTGTTTCTTGTTCTATGTTGTGTGTTTTATTTTTTTTTTATTTATGTTTACTTGCCGGCAGATGGAAGCTGAGAAATCCGAGAAATCCAAGAGATCTGCGAGTTGCGTCGGTCAGCAAACTTTGGGCTCTGCCTTTTGGCTCCTCTAATTAAGATGAATTAAGCAAAATCATTTCGATTAGAAAAACGGAGGAGCAGCACCACAAAAAACGCTGAAGATGATGAAAAAGCAAAAGCAGCGGCACAACCAGAACCAGAAGCTAACTGTTCTTTGGGGCGTTTGATGATGAGCCGATGGATGACGGCCACAAAAAAGCAGGGAAAAAATAAATAAAATAAAATAAAATAAAATAAAATAAAGTTCAAGTTGCCGCGTTGACAGATGCTGAGAGATGCTAAATGACGATGAGGGGCCATGTAATTGCTGTTAACTCTGGGGCATAATAACTTTATTAGGAAGTTCGTCATCACGGCAGCCGCAATTGAGGGCAAATTTAAGTGCCTTCTGAAAGAGGAAAACCAAACCAGCCCATGGTAACTCGACATTGATTGGAGATTTCGTTAGGAAATTTGGTGTGAAGAATTTTTTCGTACCTCTGTCTTAACCAGAAGAAGTGGTATAAAAAATACACTCTTATTTATTTGAAATAATATGGATTGCATTGTATGACATAATAACAAGCTTAATTTCACCATATTTATAATTATATTTAAAATTTGAGTAAATTTTTGTATTTTTTATTTCAATAAAGTAAAACACTAAGATAAGCCTATAATAATTTAAAGGGAATAGAAGTGTTATCTTAAACAATACTTATCACAATTCTACATTTTTGGTACCTTTAAATAAAAAAAAACATAAGGCACATCCATATGTACTTATTTACTTGTTATTCTTAAATCTGATATCTATAGTGCCTTTTTCTGAGTCCACCAAAAAGCAAATATTTATGAACTTCTCTGGATTTTGGCTCTCGAGCACTTAGGCCGTGTTTAGTTCCCAAGCGTATGGAAACTTTCCGTCTTGTCGAAGCTTATTGTTGTGCTGCGTGTATTTTTGTGTTTTTTTGTGTATTTTAATTAATTAAGATTTATAAGCGTCGGCCGAGCGCATTTCAGCGGAAATTTAAATGCACAGACCGCTTGTCTCGGCCTTCTTCGGCCTTTTCTTTTTTGGTGCGAAAAATGCCCAAGACTGGAGACTACAAGACTTGCCTTCTTTTTGCTTCTCTTTTTTTGGCCCCGCCACGACTCGCCATGTATTTAATTTAATTGAATTTGCGCCGCCATCAACGAGACGACGGAACTTAACGAGCGAAACGTGGCTAAAACACTGGCCAACGGACGACCCCGTCTACGGTTACGGGGTTTTCGGGGGTTGGGGGGTAAAGGAAAGTACGGGGGTAATATGATAAAATGATTACACATCCGCCTTGAGTTTGCACCGAGACATTGCTCATACGACACGTTGTTGCCACCGCGCCCGAGGGCAGGAAATCGTGTTTAGTCTTGAGACCGCCAAGACCCCCGAATAACCCCCCGTATGACCCCCCGTGCATCCCCCTTATCCCCCCCCCATCAGCAAACCACCCAACATTTCCAACCCGGAATAAAGTCCCGGGTATATAAGCCATTGCGAGATGTTGTGTCCAATGCAATTATGAAAATTTACGAGTTTTTTGTTTCAACAGACAAAGTGCGTTGTTTTCCTTCTCTCGCCTGCTTTATTTCGGTGAAAATAATTTACGATCTGCAAAAGTTTCCCCTCAACTTAATGCAGAAAAACATCACAGAATTAAAGCTGGGAACAAGTCGGAAGTGAAACTTTTGGTTTCGCATTAAAAGGTTAGACATTAAATGGTGGGCAATTTAAAGATCTTTAAAGACGTTGATAAATATATGTGGCTCTGCAGGAGCTAAATAATAATATAAAATATATATAAATACCTACCACTTGACCTCCATTTTAATACGCCTGACAACCGAAATGCTGGAATAATAAATCCAGTGGCTCGAGCACTCCGCAGGGACCATCAATTGTCGGGATATCGAAGATATAGCCCCGATTTGGCCAACAGACGAGTCATTTGGCTTGCATGCCGCACACAATTTTCTCCTTCTTCGCTCTGCAGTTTAATAATTAATTATATAATTGCAGGCGGACGGACCTGAGGGAAAAAAGAGAGACGAACACCGAACGTTAAATTCTCACGCTTGTCTCGCTGGGGTTATTTTGAAATATTTATTATAATTATGGGTCAGGTTGTGTCTATTCATAGGATCTGCGAAAATAATCGATATGCATGCGTGTGCCTGCTTTATTTTCGTGAATCCCCGTCTTCGGCTGACGAATTGTGTGGGCCAGCGAAGTTGACACATGGACAGGTATAAAAAAAGGTTAAACAAGGGCCGCCCACTGACAAAAAAATATATAAAATATGTTTGCAAAAGGTGGCCATTTAATATATTAATTAATAATCATGGTCATAACAATATTATATATATTTTTAGCGAACACTATCAGATAAGTTTGAGATAATTTGAAACATAATCTTTAAAAAAACTACTTAAAAACACTTGCTTTGGGTTTTTTTTGTCCTTCAGCGAAGTTTCAAATATTTTTCTCTCTGCGCGTTTCCGTGTATCATTCGTCACTAAATCCTTTCATCACACTTGGAAACAGGTGGTTGGCATCGGAATAAAAGGGGTGTGAGGAGGGGGGATTTCGGAGGCGTTGACATTAACGAAAATGCTGGGCATCATTTCGGCTTCAATTATGCGCAATCATTTTTCAAGTTCGCATCGTTGCGTTGGCACGCGACAGAAATTAATAATTGAGCGGTGCGAAAGAGACGGACTGCGGGGGCGCTGAAAGAGACGGCATCAGTGCCATTTGCTAAATTGAAAGCAGCAGCTGATGGGCTTTATGGATGGGGATCTGTATGCCGTATGCCGAATGCCGAATGCCGTATGCTGTATATGGATGCAGATGGGCAGCTGGGCGGATGGGTGATGGGTGATGATGATGCCCAGTCAGACACAAAGTGGCAAATCAATTTCGTTTCACTTTGATTGTATGCAAATCTTCGCTGGGGGAGCGAGAAAGAGAGGGGGCGATGCATTCGGCGTTCTGCATGTTGCATGCAAATTAAGTGCAACACTTGTTGCCCCAGCACTCAGCCACCACTCAGTTTTCAGTGTCGACACGGTGAGAAATGCTTGTAATCTCAGGAAACTGATGCACACAACATTAAATGTTTAAAAACACTGACTAAATTAAAGCCACTAGTTGATTTTATTTTTCCGCAATATCAAATGTTAGTCAAAGAATAAATTAATTGTCCTTAAGTAAATATATTTTGTTTAGTCGAGTACACAAATATGTACATTTTTAATAAGAGCTAGAATAAAAAGAATATAATATAATACATGTTAAAAATCATAGATACATTTTTTAAAAATATAGACACAAAAAAGTAAAGAATAGGA